ATTGAAGCAGTGACAAGGGACAATTCTCCAAAATCCCCCCTTGCTCTCTCTACAAGAGCTAAGAATTTCCTCTATGCTTTCCCCCAAAGAACTGTGAGAATTCCACTTTTAGCTGTCAAACACCAGCAGCCAGTGGTGTGGCTGAAGTTTGAGATGAGTTATGGAATGACTCATTTCACAAAGCAGCATAGATTCAGCATTATTGGGACAATGGGCCACTTCCWTTCCTTAGTCCTGGCTACACCTTCACCAGAGGGGACAGGCAGGCAGTGACARTGACTGCTGCAAAGACTCAGCAAGGCATTGCTGTAAGTGGTGCACAAATGCAGGGAGTCAGGCTGCTCTAACTGGGTCAGCAAGTGCTGAGCAGGAGGACCAAAAGTACAACCATCACCAGAATAGGTGATCTGAAATTATTTTGCTGCTTAGTTGAGATGGTCCACGTGGATCCCATGTACTGATGACCCTTYGAGTTGAGACTTTTTCCGTTTCAAATATAAGTGAGCATCTAGACTTGGACAACTGCCTCGTATATTGCATGAAAGAATATAAATTGAAGCTTTCAGTGTATTAATTGTTCCAGGAGCAGAAAAGGACTTTAAAATCAAGGTTATTGTTACTCCTTGTAATTAGGGATTATGGGAACATTAGGACCAGACAAAAGGGACCTCCTGCACTACTGAATTTAAATCCACACTCACTTGGCAGTAAACCTTTCTAATACAATAYGTATTCTGCACTCTCATAGCATATAGCATTTTAATTTTCTACATAACTCAAGCAGATAATTACAGATTTAATTATCTTAAATCTAAGTAAGAGTTTATGGCAAATGAGGTGAACTTTTCACACTGAAGTGCTGGGCACACACTAGTAAGATGGTTTTTGAGCTGATTTAACTTAGTGATGGAGCAAGTGATGCAACTTGTCATATCTTGCCTCTCACTCAGAAAGTGATGTAAGTGGTAGCAGAACAAACCTTCTTGCACCAGACCCTTTGTGACTTTTGAGCTGTCACCAGGAGTATGGCTAAAAATCCCCAAAAATCTACATTCCAGATAACATCCTCCTGTCATTGTTGACTTTGGGATTGTGACCAAAACAAGACAAAATCTTGTGCTTTCTAAATTGAACAGTGAGTCTGCATTATAAGTCTGTTTGAAATAGGCTCACTCTCATGGACATATGTTGGGATGGAAAAGTCCCAGCATTTAGAGAGAATAAAGCAATAAAGTCAAAGTGAACAACAAATCACAAAATGTTTAAAGATAGAACAAAAATAGAAACGCCAATTACTTTCCTGTTTATACTTCTGAATTTTTCTTCCCCAAGGAATTTTGATACTTTCCATTCAAATAAAAAATGAAACCACATCAGAATTAGCTACAAATGATAGGACTGTGAAACAAAAATTAAAAAAAAAAAAAAAAAGATCAAGCTCTGTGTGTAGTTTTTAAAAGTTCCAGTGTCTGTGTTCCCAAGAAGTACTGAGTCAATGATAACAATTGTGGGATGCATTTGYAGGGGTGCTGTGGTGAATTCCTGTGTTTAGCGCCCCTCTAGAGCTCTGGGCTTTTGCAGCTGGTTCATGAAGAGAAGTACAGACCATCACAGCTGACTGCAGCTGAGCTGTGTTTTTATGGCTCAGAAGCAAAAAAATGGTCTGATTTACACCAGGGAAATGCAGGCGTCGTTCTGCCAAAGCAAATTACATAAAGKGGCAACTGTGCTCTGCCACTGTACAAAACAAGGGCAAAGAAATCAAAGCTGGTGAGTAGATCCTAATACTTCAATTAGACTGGATCTGTAAAGCCAAGACAGCACGACAAATCCGACTGTGAGGAATGACTGTAAAATAAAATGCTATCAATCAACATGCACTAGGTGTCTTTGCCAAGTAAGGGGGAAGAAGATAACAGGAAATTGTGAAATTATCTAGACTCAGAGCGTTGAATTCTCTGCCACTCCAGATTTATGGCAGTCTTCTGCTCTCTTACAAGGCAAGGGCAGGATGGTATTTAAATAATTTCCGGTTTAAGCCTTTTTCACCTCCTCTGTTCAGACACAAATAACTACCCAAGGCAAAGATTACCAACAAGCCTGGGCTGTCATTTCTATCACAGGGATCAGAAGCTTACTGTGAAAAAAAACATACCAAAAAGCAAGAAATATAAAAGGAAGAACTGAAATATCAGAGTAAGCCATTCTCTCTTTTCCACCAAATTACGTTGCATTGGTTTCATAGGACCACATCTCATTTTTCTCCTCAAAAAAATATGATTCAAAGTTGAAAAAGTGAAGTCTCCCTCTGAGTTACTCTTTTCCTAGAACATGTTCTGAATAATAATTTATGCAACAGATATTTCCAGTTACAGCTCCACTATTCTAATTGTTCTGGAATTGGCTCAGTATTTTTCAGTCTCACCTGATTTCTTAAGACCTTGAGAGTTTTGCTGGAGAGGGAGTGGCAACACAGCAAGCGATGGCATTTTCTTAAACCAGGCAGAAAACACAAGCCTTCATTTGTCTTTTTAAGACCTGCCAGTCCTTGAAACTTGTTCTTTAGAAGCATGTCTAAACATGCTGACTGTTCAAAATCCCAGTGTACATGGAGGCTCTGAACTTTTCTTTTTCAAAGCACAGGTGATATTTCAACATGCTTGCTCATCTGTCCTGGAACATCAAAGCAATAAATTCTGTGGAACTACTTCTGCCAAAGCTTTCCAAGTTTTCCATGTGCACACAATTTAGGAAGGATTAAAAATTATTTTTATTAATTGTGATGCTTAGTTTTCAAGTTATCTGAGGGCATTCTGGGTTTGGCAGCCTGCAAATCTGGAATTTTGGTTTGGTAAAGTTGCTGTAAAATAGGTTCATCCCTCTTCTGCCCTGAAAGTCAGAAAACCTTACAAGGTCACTTTACTGAAATACGCTACACCCAAAGATAAAAGAATTGAACAGSAAGTCAAAAAGTCCAAAATCCCATCTGCACACTAATCCACAAGACAAACAAGTCTGCTTTGCCTGTTTCACATATAAATCAACTTCTAGGTCATGCAAAACCTCATCAAATAAACTCAAGTATAAGTTTCTAACAGGGACAGAAAAAGAATAGGAATTCAGGATTCCATCCCATCTTTAACTTTCTTAAACTCACACACTCGGAGGAGTTTTTTCAGAATAAATATAAAATATTTTATTTGCCTTTCCCATCAGTATCCACATTTTCCTTCCAGTCCCACCAGGTTCGCTGTGGTCCCCAATGTGCTGCCAAAGTCCACTGAGATCTTTCTGTAGAAGTTTTTGCACAGTTTTGCAAATCAGTTTAATTAATATAGTGAAAAGCATCCTAGAAGAGTGGATTATAAAACCAAAAGCCATTGTCCATCTGTCTGCTATGAAACAGACATTCTTAATTTCTGTCATCATTTCAACTACAAGTATCACAATCCATCAAGGCTGAGGCCTGAGACATCTGGAGAAAATACAGTGTGTCACACAGGGTAACACCAAAGTGATAAAAAAGATCTGAGAATGTCTGTGCTGCTTCTGGAGTTACTGAGCTGCACAGGAATGAAAAAGCAAAACAAAATAAAATAAATTTTAAAATATCATCAGAATAGAATCTTCTGCACTATCTCTGTGGATCCAGAATAACCTCAACATCACCCTGTCTAAACAATCTGTCAGACCCTCTCAGTGGTGCACACTTGGAGCTCATGCACTGGGAAGATAGGTCACAAGTCATATGGACTCCCTGACGCAGAAGAAAAGAGGAACTAACTCAGGTTTCAAACTTTGCCCAAAGAGTGCTCAGACACCTCTGAGAGGCTGACTCATCTCCAACCAGCAGCTGGGTGCTATCCTGTTGCCAAGACAACGGTAGCAACTCAGTTCAACTCTCTGCAACATTCTCTGTAAGGAAAATGCTGAAGCATTGGCATAAAGCCAGCATACTCCACATTAGGAAAACTTTTCTGTTCCCTGAAGGRCACGTTTTGTACATGTTTCTGTACTATGGATAAAGCAGTCTGACAGCTTTTTGCTTGTTACTGCATGACTCTTACAATGATACAAGAGAAATGTGCCCTTGTTCTTCAATTTCATTTTATAAGTTTTACCCTCTCTCTTTTGTCCCTTAGAAGAGTGGATTTCTACCTGCCTAGATCAAAGGTCTCTGTGCCTCCAACTTGGGCTATTTTTCCAACACAATAAATGATATTACTGTCCTTTGTGAACTTTCCAGTCACTTAGTTATGTAATTGTGCCTCAAAAGTTTTCTCTCACCCATACACTGACATTCATTGCAACCTCTGACGATAGGCAAAACAGTTTTCCTACCCAAAGTTACACATACTTTTTCTTTTCTAAGAAGYAGCCCAGCATTCATAACAGACTCTGGACTGGAGCAGTAGTAATATCTCTCACACATACACAATATCTCTTTTATATAAACAACTGAAAGAAAGAAATCTGATGCAGAATTTTTTTTTTGGYATCTGAAAAGGCAGAACAGAGAGGAACCAGTGGATAAGTAAAAGATGATTTGTGAAGGTGCAAAAGCAAGGAGGAGAGAAGGAAACATATTAATCGAGTATACAACCTCATTGTTAAAGGTTGCATCTTGTATCTGAAAGAGGAAATATTTCAAAGTTTATACCCCTGGCCTCTCTTATCATAATTTTCTTTAGTGGCTGCAATCTTATGGAACGCAAAATAAATTCCAKCTATGATGACAAACATGACCCTTGGTACATTTTCCAGTGTGCAGAGATGTGGCTGGATGCCAGGTGCCCACCAAAGCTGCTCTGTCACTCCCTTCCCTGACCGGGACAGGGGACAGAAAATATAACAAAAAGCTCATGGATTGAGATAAGGACAAGGAGAGATTCCTTACCAGTTACCATCACATCATGAGAAATAAACCCAAAACTTAAAAACACCTTCCCCCCACCCTCCCCTTTCTTCCTGAGCCCAACTTTACTCCTGGTTTTCTCTACCTCTTTTCCTGAAGCAGCTCAGAGCAATGGGAAACAGGGCCCRTGGTCGGTTCATCACATGGTGTTTCTGCTGCTCCTTCCTCCTCATGGAGAGGACCCTTCACACTCTTCCCCTGCTCCAGAATGGGGTCGTTCCCACTGGAGACAGTCACACCCTTCTCTTGCTCTGGAACGGGGTCAATCCCACTGGAGACAGTTACACTTTTCCCTTGCTCTGGAATGGGGTCGATCCCACTGGAGACAGTCACACTCTTCCCTTGTTCTGGAATGGGGTCAGTCCAGCTGGAGACAGTCACATTCTTCTCTTGCTCAGGAACGGAGTCAATCCCACTGGAGACAGTTATTACACTCTTCTGCTTCAGAATGGAATCAGTCCCAATAGAGACAGCTACACTTTTTCCCTGCTCTGGAATGGGATCACTCCCAGTGGAGACAGTCACACTTTTCCCCTGCTCCAGAAAGGGATCACTCCCACTGGAGACAGTTACACTCTTCCCTTGCTCTGGAATGGGGTCGCTCCCACTGGAGACAGTTATTATACCCCTCTCCTGCTCCGGAATGGGATCAGTCCCAGTGGAGACAGTCACACTTTTCCCCTGCTCCGGAATGGGATCAGTCCCAGTGGAGACAGTTACACTTTTCCCCTGCTCTGGAATGGGATCACTCCCAGTGGAGACAGTCACACTCTCCCCGTGCTTGGGCATGGGGTCTCTCCCACAGGAGGTAGTTACAGTCTGCCTTTGCTCTGTCATGTGGGGTCTCCCACGGGAGACAGTTCTCCAAAAACTTCTCCAAGGTGGGTCCTTCCCATGGCTGTAGCTCTTCATGAACCACTCCAGGTGGGTGCTTTCCACAGGGTGCAGTCTTTCAGGAACAGTCTGTTCCAGTGTGAGTCCACCCCAAGATCACAGCTCCTGCCAGCAACCCTGCTCCTCTCTCCGCAGGTCCACGGGTCCTGCAAGGAGCCTGCTCCAGCATGAGCTTCCCATGGGATCACAGCCTCCTTCAGGCATCCAGCTGCTCCAGCAAGGGATCCTCCACAGGCTGCAGGTGGAWSTCTGTATCCCCATGGATTGCCATGGGCTGCAGGGGCACGGCTGCTTCAGCATGGGCTGCACCACGGGCTGCAGGGGAATCTCAGCTGCGGTGCCTGGAGCACCTCCTCCCCCTCCTGTTCCACTGACCTTGGTGCCTGCAGGGCTGTTCCTCTCACTGATTCTCACTCCTCTCTTCTCTGCCTGCACAGTAACTTTTTTCCCTTCTTAAATACGTCATCCCAGAGGCACTGCCACCGGTGCTGATGGGCTTGGCCTTGGCCAATACAATGATTTGTACAGTTTAAGAAATTACATACTTGACTTGAATTTATGAGGGAATTTTCTTTTCATTCACTTCCTTTAAAAATCTATTAACAAGTGTTTGATTTTCTTCTGGCTTATGTCAGCACAAATCAAGAGTTACTAATGAGAAGTTGCTAAAGATCGAAACTGATGCAAAAGTTAGAGCAGGAAGATTTAAGGCATTGATTCGGTGCAAATGCACACTTATGAAAAACAAAGTTTCTGTCTAAATAACGTTTGCACTGAAAATTAACTTAGGTTACTATATTTGACTGGTTACAGTGTGCTTCATTCTACTCTATTTAGCTAAACAAGCCAGGAAAATAAGGAAATGTGTTGGGCATACCCATTGCTGAGTGTCATATGAAAAAATTGGCCAGCCAAAGTTGGTGGGTTTTATTTTTAGTTGAACAGAGCTTTGAAAAAACTCTTTGATCTATTTATTCCCCAATCTGTTGGCATATACACATAAACTGAAAAAGAAAAGAAAGAAAGCAAAAGAAAAAAGCCAAGCTRTGACTTGCATAGCTTGTTGCTATCATACTTATTTACCTAAGAGTCCAGACAAGGCCAAATTTAACTTGACCGAGGGCTACATCTGGCCCTAATTCAGTTTCACTGCATATTAACAAAAGAACAATCAGCCAGTGCTGGAGCACTGTGCACACCAATATTCAGAAACATGATCTGAAGGAAACTTTCCAAAAGATTCAGACATTGGTTTCTCTCGGCCTTTTGCTGCCCATAACTGTCAACAGGAGTGGAGTTAGGTCAGGGAAAGACACTCCCTCGCCATTACTTTGTTCACCGTGATCAAGGGTAACATTAACGTGTCCATTACTCATTCAGCTGAAATGAGCCTCTCAGACCAGATTTCAGCACCACACCTACTGGAGCTGTGGGATCTCAAGCCTAAATTTGGAATCAGGATAATATCTGGGACATTTATATATCCTTTAGAAACAYTTTATTCTCATAAGACCTTGGCTTCTTATAAAATTGTGGGTTTAGTTTTACACCCTTCTGTTGGCCTACTAGGTTCTATAAGGAGCTGGCCAGTACATATTAATTTTTCTCTTCACTTTTTACTTCTTATGAGAGAATTTTACGTAGTATAACCCTAAGAATTACTTTTCTTTGTGGCCACTGACATGCAACAGAAATGCTGCACAGTAAACTGAGAGTTTTACTTAATTTAGGGCAACTAAACTTAGAGCAACTAAAAGCAAGAAGACATTTCTCCTGTCACACATGCATTCCTTCCAGGAAAAGAGTAACCTTCATGTCCCTACAGGAAGCTACACAGGTGGCACCAGGCAAAGCATCAAGAAAATAAAAATGGCATGGTGCAAGTGGGGCAATACTAACACCKATATATACAGCAGCAAGGAAAAACAACAGGCAACATTTATAAGCTCATCAGCTTGGAAAATATTTGCTCCCTACAGACTGCAACACTAACAACAAACTCCCTCCAGTAATCCATGGGGCCTAAGATAATGAATACTTGAAGCAGTGAATTGAAGTTCAGATTCTGACCCTAAGTTACATACCTCAGAACCTCACAGAGTTTGACCCATAACACTGATTTTTTTTTCCTGAAAACACAAACCTGTGATTTTGCTATCTACTCAATGGGGAAAAAAAAACCAACCAGCAAGCGGTCTCACAGCCCAGCAAGTACATTTCATAGAAAGCATAATAAAGAAAAAGTACCACAAAACCCCACAACCTGAAACCAGGCATCAAAACCAACATGGCACACAGAAGTGTGCCAGCAACATTGCATTTAATACCATGTTTCCATCTCAGTAGTTAGAAGAATACAGTCATTGTAAGGTATATTCAGCCGAAGTATAAACAACTGTGGTCTGTTTCTAATGGACAAACACTTTCTACACAATAAAAAGAAATTCAACTTAGCATGGGTATGAATACTGCTGCATAACTTTAAAATCAACTTTAGTAATAAGAATGGAAAAAATGGAATCTCATCAAATAGACAAGAAACCAGCATTTAGCTTTAGAGAGATGAGGCTCTACCTGAAAGCAAGAAAGGTAGAGAGAGGGGAAGAGAAGGGCTGTAAAAATGAGTTTTAGTCCCACAATGTGACTGGTCCTATACCAGAACTGCAAACCCTGGAAATTAAAACTATTGCTATAGCCACCTTCAGTAAGCAGAGGACTGGTATTGAGTTCCTACCTGTGAGTTGACAGTTCACCTCCTGCACAACTGGTTATGGGAAAGGACATGAAGGCATTCAGTGCTAAGGCATTTCATGCTCTTCTCTTCTGCTTGTATTTAGTTTCCTTCTCTCATGCCTCTGACAAGCACATAACTGCCCACCACTGTAATCGCTTCAACCTAGCCAGACTTACTCAGAAGCTTTTCCCTTCTGGAAAGATGCAGGATGGAGATGTAGGAGTTCTCAATCCCATGTGCTTTGCTGCAGTCTCTGTGCTTCCTGAGTACTGCCTGCTTCACTTGTCAAGCAGCAAATGACACACTGAGAGCGTTTGTCAAACCTCTGTCCCTTTGTATGCTTAAGGGGAGGAAACTGCCATTAATGTTTAACAAAACTAACAGGAGCAAAGCCTTTCTCTGCAAAATCGCGCTGACTTTGAAGGGACCGGTGTGTGAAAAATCTGGCAAGACAGAAGTTTGCTTCTGGTAGTCCACAGTTTGAGAAAAGAAAATGGGAAGTTGATTTTAAAGTTACAGGGAACAACAGTTTCCAATTCATTCCTGAAGCTCTGAACTGATGCAATCCAGCTGCTTGCTGCTAAAGAAATAATAGAAGCTGTGTCAGGGACCAAACCACACACACAGACACAGCAAGCCAGGCTCAGCACCTATCTTGAAGCCCACATGGATGACAGGACTGTTTGAYAGGAAAGGGAGAAGTCAAAAATCCACATTCAAATGCATTCAGGTCTCTGCCAACGAACGGACACAGGCTATCTGCCATCTCCCATTTGCCTGTGTTGACATAAASTGGCTTCCCAGCTCAGCAACAAATCAAGAGGGCAGAAGTCTCATGTGAGAACAGACTCATGACCGGGCATTTGTTCAGTAGCCTGGACTGACGAGTCCTCTTCTGGCCCCAGCTGCCTCCGGGTGAGTGTCCCACAGCACAGTAGAAAAGGTGAGTCAGCTGGAGACAGCTACGCTGTGACAGCAGGAGGAGTAACCAACACTGCCTGCACCTGAATGTCACCAACACTGCCCCATCCCAGGCACAGAGGTCCCTGTAACAGGAGCCCACCTGCCTGCCAGCATTAGATGTAAAAAGACCTTCTGAGGTCTTGCTAGAAGAATTTGAAGCACAAAGTGTTTTTGTGTTACTGCCACTGCAATGAATTCTGTTTCACAGTTCAGTTATGCTGTTACCTGGAAAAACTTCTGGGAAATTGCAATACACAATGGGCTTATCCTATGAATCCAAAATGAAGAATACCATTTCCATCTCTTAGCTGCTGCTAATTGTTTGTCAAATGAGTACTTGCTATACAGCCACAATACTGTGGATCACCTATGCTGAAGAAGTCACCTTGCTTTACAGCCGTAACATTTTCTTTCTATCGTTAGGGAGAGAAAAAAACAAATTAATACTTTTCATTTACTTCAGCAACTTTCTACAGCTCTCTCATGATAAAATACTAACATATACTTGCATTACA